CCCACAGAGGTAGAGCGCCACAGTGCGCCGGTTACATCGCCGCTCAGATGTCGCATTGCGTGCATACCGTCCGCAGCGAGTGTGATGATACTACTACTACTACTACGACGACGACGACTACTACTACTACTGACGGTGTCGTACCCAGAAGTATCGAGCAGTCAGAGGACAAAAGGAAACGGTATCGATGACGCGAAAAAACACAGCGGCCTCCAATCTTTTCACCCCGGAGCCTGAGATCCAGAGCTGTGTATTCACTGCTGTGTCAAAGTAGAGCGACACAGGGGTGTCCCGCTGTAAGGTAGCAAAGGCCAATCATGCTTTTTAACCGCTCTTGTTTGAGACGCAGACGAAGCCCGCTTTGCCCCCTTGATTTGATTTCTCGTATCTACGCGTGGAACCAGAACGATCCCTGGATTTGGAGCAGCAGCAAAAGCCGTGAACCCAAGTCCAAATCCGACGTGCCTCAGGAGTCAGCCAGCAGGAGGCGCCCCACGCGAAGGGAATCTTAGCTCTCCGATCTGTGGGCCATCGGTTCCGTGGTTTCGGTCTGGTTCTGGTCCGGCAAAGAAAAAGCAGCAGCCCTCGTTCTGATCTGATCTACCGGCTTGGTCCCGGAGGCTTTGATAAGCTTGGTAAGGCTCAGAGGCTCGCATCGGCTGAGCCGCAGCACCAAGACCAAGGGCTCCCATGGACAGATGGCAAATGATGGCTGATGATGACCGGACGGTTTCGTCTTCGGGTAAGAGGCTTTTGGAGCACCTGGGAACCTGCTGAAGACACATGGTGTGCCTGCAGTCTTGAAGCGTCCTGCACACGACCGTTTTGTTGGAGGTGGGCGTGCTGGACATCGTCTCCCTGATCGCGTACAGTACCATCATCACTTTGGGCCTACTTCGGGTGCGCTCGGGCAGCCGGGATGGGGCAGCCGGGACTTTGCTTTCCTTGGTTCGCGGTACAGACCTGAGTCAGCCAGTCTGAGAGGCTGCACAACGGCGTGCATGCAACCGCCCCTTGCGATTTTGCTTCCTGTTTTGGTGTTCTCCGCACGGGTCCGGGTTTCCAGAGCTTTGTCCTTCACTCGGACCTCTCCGAGGCTGCTATGCACGTGGCATGGTGCCAGGCTCCGGCATCGATTTTGCATGGGTAATGCAATCCTGGCTACACCAGCCCTGGGCTGAGAAGCCTTGACAGGATGGGTCTGGGAGGGATCCCCAGCTCAAGAAGCGCAAGGGCATCCAGGCTCAAAAGTGCGGGCGCCCAGCCAGTAGTGACTTTCTCTTTCGTGTTTAATTCGGCCTGCAATGTTGCTGCGATAGCTTCGGCCACCCTGCTTCTGATTGTGCGTTTGCCTTTGTTGTTGCCGATGCTGTGGCTGTTGGTCTCGCATCTCTAGAATACCAGCAGAGGCTGATCCTGAGCCTGGCAACATGGTGTTGACCTTGTTCTTCAGTGCCACAACCCGAAGCTGCCGATCCGGAGCCCAACGCCGGCTTGAACATGCCTGGCTTTTTCATGTTGCCGAGGATCGGATTGTTGAGTGTCTTAATGGGCATCTGCTCCGAGGACGGAAGGGCGACAGCGCTTTCGGGGCTTACTGGCCACTTCAGGGGTGCTCTCGTGATTTGCATCGATATGCTTGGGTTTCGGGCGAGCCACTGCTCCTGGACGTTTGTGGTGTATGTGTGGACAGTGGTTGCAAGGAGGGTGATGGAAGGCCTACTTTTCTGCTGCCAGGCCCTCGCTTGTTTGCTGGCGCAGCCGAGCAAGCTTCTGACTGCCTAGCCCAACCGGCGTAATGACTTGAGGTTCAGGCCATAGCTTCAGAAACACCCATACAGATTCATCGGGACGAGTGTTGCAGCTGTTGGGCTCGAGTAACAGTGTCCTTGCTTCCGCCTCGCACCATGGAAGCTGTAAACAAGGCAATCCGAGGGAACCGCTAGAGCCGCTAGAGCATGACCGGATCGGAGCCCGCAGTTTTGAGGAGGTGTCAGCCTTTTCAGCAAGATTCCTGCTCCTGGTAGAACCGTAAGCCGGAACCTGCTGCAGGCTTGCCCGCTTACTCACCGCCACGTGGCAATGATGATTGATTTCCTCTATCCCCACGAGGCAGGGGCAGAGGACTGATTGGCAGCTCACGACAAGACGCGCCTGCTTGTTCTTCCGCCTAATGACCTAATGATCCTGTGAGGCCTTTGCAAGAGGGCAGGTCTGCAGATTGTGGCAGCGGCTTGTCTCAGATTTGGGGCCAAAAAAGAGCAGTTAACCAGACAGCTCTGTAGCTGTTCTGCAAGCCGTGGAAAAGCTTTCGCAGCGGTTGTTTTGAGAACAGAGGCAAGCAACATCTGCGTTGGATGCAAGGGAGGCTGTGCTGAGGCACGCTGTGGGGGAGACTTGGTTCATGTAGCAACAGACGGAGCAGTGCCAGGAGTTTATCCGGAGGACGGAGAAGAAGTAGGATGTAGTCACAGTAGTCCGCACCCAGAGTCTTGTTCACCCCTTCCACACCGCAAACCCGAGAGCCCTAAACCTACCGAACAAGACACTGCCAAACCCAAAAATACGCAAGCAATTCCAAATCCCTATCCCCTTCGAGTAGCCGAAGCAGGCTCCGTCCCTCGGGCTGGGTGCGAGATGCCGCAGAGGCTGCATGCCTCAAGGCAGTGTGGGGTGTACTAAAAGGGCCTGGCTGGCAAGAGCTGCTTCTCCCTTTCGGAATCAGGTGTGTGGAGGCTCGAAAGCCGCCGAGCACAGGCCCAAGACCTGCAAGCCAAAGCTTTCCACGTGGTTCCAATCCCTCGAGTTTCAGGATTTCAGCAGTTTAGGTTGAGAGGCACAAGGTGCGGTGGCTGCTTTGGCCGGGAACTCCCAGAATCCAGCATTATCATTGTTGTTAACATGATGGTGATAAAGATCATTCAGGATGGAGAAAGAAGCTTGTCGTCATGGTTATCTTTGCTCTGGCAATACAACCTGGAACCACCTGAACGGGATCAGCCCGAAAGCTATGAACCGGGAAGGATGCGGCCTTCTGCAAGCGGCTACTACGCGACTCTCGGCAGCTGCCTTTGGTGCACCCATGGTTTCAGTGGCGGCCACTCGAGATCCACGCCCCAAGCCCCAAATCCCAAGCCACTCAGAACGATGAGCCGGATCATGGGTTTCACTAGACCGAAGATCGCACCAAACAGAGCGTCCCCAGCACAAGAGGTCGTCCTTGCCGTGCAATGCCAGTCTTCTTCGTCTTTAGCCTGGCCGTCTGGCTGTCGTCTTGTGTCCGCTGACTCGACTGATGCTAGTGGAAGGACCTTGGTTGCTTCTGCGGTGCGCATGCACCCAGGATTGGTGCACCTACTTGTCCGACGCCAGTTTACAAGTCGCCTATGCACCGTGGCCGCTATACCTACACCTGAGTGGTGCACTGGGAACTCGAGCCCCGCTATAAGCCAGAACATCCCCCGCCCTCGCAACTGAACGCACGAGATTCCGAGACACTGAACTGCCCCTGCAGCCCCTGCAGAATCAATATGCAACTTCCAAGGGGTGTCATGCAGGAGTCAGGAGGCAAGAAGATAGATCGCAGCAGTGCTCTGTTTGCCACGAGACCCTGGAATTGAGCTGTTGAGTCTGCTGTCCTATCTTGCTCCGAGGTTGGCTATGGGTTGGGTTGTGGGTTGGCTTGCTCTCAGCAGTGGTTAGGAGGTGTACTTAGAAGCTTCTAGAGTTCATGGCCGGGGATCCTGTTCTCAGACCTCTGCGGGGCAGCTTTGCCTGGATATCTGTACTCAACAATACACTCGCCTCCAAACTATCTCGAGCAATCATCGGCCCTTTTGGCATCATGTTCTGTTAGCATCAACTTCAGGCTCTGTTTCATTCGAACTAAGTGGGCTAAGACCGTCAACACTCGGCCTTATCCACAGACCAGGTCTCCTCCTCGCAGCATCTCGTATTTACGGACCCTACCGCGAAGATGGTGGCGCCACCTCAAGGCACCGGGCCTTGCAAGAGGTTGCAGGGTCCTCATTACGAGCAGTAGCACTAGCAGAGGCTGCTATAGTAGCGAGATGCCGCACGGAGAACAATGCGATCATCCAAAGCACCACCACCGGCGGCGACGACTACTGCTGTACTTCTCACCCCGTCTAGTCAGCATGATTTGCGCCGGGTGCTGCGTGTGACAGTGATGGTTTGCTCGTTGTTCCTCAATCCGAGGAGCTGATCTATTCCCCATTGATGTGGACCGGGACACATACCGACACCTGGCGATAGAAAAGGTGGACAATGAAGTCGTTCGATCATGCCGCGCAGGGCTTTGGGGTATCCTGTCTGGCCATTTTTGGTCCGTGGCCCTGAGCTTGTGTTCCGCCTGTCCTGGGAGCCTCTGAAGAGTCTGAAGCTCTAAACTCTAACTCCTACTGGTCACACTGTCTGCTGTTGCAAGGATTGGTGATCGCGGCCTTTTCTGCAGACAGGCTTTGGTGGAGATGCCTGGAGTCGCCCGACTGAAGAAAGTCCGTCTCCAACAACCTCATATGAATGAATGGATGGATGGATGTATGAATGAATGTATGTATGAATG